AACAACAAGCACAAAGCATTAGGGCAGATGGTTGTAGAATAACTGTCACATATCCCACCTATGCTAACAAGCTAAATCAGGCAGCCTTTGTTCTGGAGATATAGAATCAGAACCAGCACAGCTTACTTTCCTTTGGGAAGCCCAGGAGCCCTTGGGACCCAGCCTAGTTTCTGAGGCTGAAGCACCACAACCTTCTGCAAGTCAGTCGCAGTAGTTGTCCATGGACCACAGTTTGAGAACCACTGGTCAAGATGGTCTGTCTGGGAAAAAGTCAGACAAAGGTCAGCTTCACATGTTGACCCTGAACACAGACATGGCTGAACACTGCAGAGATGGGGCCCAGGCTCACACAGGTTTCCACAAAGGCTGCTTCCATGGGAAAGGTCCAAATAGAAGGGAAGTTGCTCTCATACGGTATGTCTAGACTACAGGCTTTTGTCGACAGAAGTTTTGTCGACATTATCTGTCGACAAAACTTCTGTCGACAAAAGCCTGTAGTCTAGACATACCCTATGAGAGCAACTTCCTTTCTATTTGGACCTTTCCCATGGAAGCAGCCTTTGTGGAAACCTGTGTGAGCCTGGGCCCCATCTCTGCAGTGTTCAGCCATGTCTGTGTTCAGGGTCAACATGTGAAGCTGACCTTTGTCTGACTTTTTCCCAGACAGACCATCTTGACCAGTGGTTCTCAAACTGTGGTCCATGGACAACTACTGCGACTGACTTGCAGAAGGTTGTGGTGCTTCAGCCTCACGACCCCCCTGTGAGGTTGCAGTGCCAGTGCTCGTTTCCCACTGGACTGGGGGAAGGGGCAGGAGAAAGCTCCCACCCTCCCTGCCAGATCCAGCTGATGGGGAATGAACAGAGCCAGAAGCAGCTCTGTGTGCTGGCACGCTCCCTCCTCCAGCTGGGGGAATAACAGCACATGGATGTACTGCCTAGAGATTTTCCCCACTGTTCCCATTGGCTGGATTCCGGCCAATGAGAGCAGTGGGAGGCCATGCCTGGAACACCGTGCTAGGAGGGAATGGGGGCAGAAAGGCATGTTAGTTATCCCCCTTCCCTACATGCCGAGACCCTGCACCCTCAACCTCTACATGCACTCCCGTCGAGACCCCATAACCCCAGACTGCTCCTGCAACTCACTACCCACACAACCTACCCTCACGTGACTTCCTAAGACTAACCACTGATTAGACTTACAGGGCAAATGAGGCTGTTTACAAGTGATCACCCACGCATGGATGGGAAAACCTTTGATGTCTTTCATTTGTACATTTCAAACCAGAAAGCATTCTAGACCCCATATTTTTAACCTACAAGAATAATACACACACCAAAATAAGGGTATGTCTATACTACAAAGTTAATTCAAACTAACAGCTGTTAGTTCGAATTAACTTTAATAGGCGCTACACATACAAACTGCTAGTTCGAACTTAATTCGAACTAGTGGAGCGCTTAATTCGAACTAGGTAAACCTCATTCCACGAGGACTAACGCCTAGTTCCAATTAAGTGGTTCGAATTAAGGGCTATGTAGCCACTTAATTCGAACTAGTTGGAGACTAGCCCTTCCCAGCTTGCCCTGGTGGCCACTCTGGCCAAACCAGGAAAACTCTTCTGCCCCCCTCCCGGCCCCGGAGCCCTTAAAGGGCCACGGTCTGACTACACAGTTTGTGCCAGTTGCAAGCCTGTCAGCACCCAGCCAGCAGACCCTGCACCTGGCACGGGATGAGCCAGCCACCCGCTGCCACCCAGC